GCATATTATTTTCGAAAGCACTAATCGTTGGACAAGCATTTTGCAATAAAAATATAGTAGTTTTTGTTTGCTGAGGAGAGTAGTAACGTTGAGGCTCATCTTCCGTGTGGTGTGGTGCTCGAGAATTTGTGCTAGAAATATGGCTAAACTGACGGACGTGTACCGAGCAGAGGATGTAATCGACGTGGGATACAGGCAAATACCGGTGGTTGCAGGCTCCGGCGATGATTCTTCATTAATGGTGAGATATTGCAGACGTTCTGCGGCATTGACAAAATGATGTACTCTAAGCAGAAATAAAATGATGTATACGTAAAGTTAGGTTGGTTTATAGAAATACATATACGGACTGCTACTAATCTGAGTAGGGAAGGTGTGCAACAGCGAATGTTGGTTACTACAACATCTAAAACGAAATTGTATGGCAGTTGTTTTATTTGGAGAAAGTGTTTCCATAGTACAAGCACGGACATAGTGAGCAGCTGATTGTGAACCATTGAACCTGTTGATACACCCAAGAGGTGAGGGGTGCTAATGCGAGGTATTTTTTTCTTCTGGAATGGAGAGCATTCCTTTGATACGCCACAAATATTTGTGTGATCTTTAATTGTTCAATAGGTTGCACATAGCTTTATGTTGCAGACGGGCTGCCAAAACAGGTTCAAAATGAAATATGTACATGGGTATTTATGCACATATATACATATGTATATGTATAGTTGCACTAGCTGCTAACACTAACCCACATGGTAGGGGCTCGAAATATTTTCTATGTACTTGTTTACTCAATGATGGTAATAGTTATCTCTCACACCTCACTTCATCCCGAAAGCGTCAAACTGAAAGATATATACCTACATTAATAGTTTTCTCTTTTGTTGTTATTACAACCATGAGTAACTTCATTTGTTGCATGTTAAACATATTGTACTTTCATACATATTTGCTACTATTAATTTGTTTTTACTAGTTTATTAATATGATCTTGCAATAGTTAGCGATAAGTTTATTATATTAATATTGCAAAGATGCACAAACTGTTTACTTTCGTATAGCTGATTGTTCTATCACTGCTGGAAAGATCGAAATTCGGGTTACGGTAGGATTGCAAAGCAACTCAATACTTATAACTACATTATATGGGAAGAGGAGTGGGCGATCTCGAAGTCTTGCGAAGCCCTTTCACCGTGCATGGATTGCTTTGCAGAACACCCCTGATCCCATAGGGATAATCTCGCAGTCTTGCAAAAGCCTTGCACGGTGCACGGGTTGCAAAGCTGTCCCAATCACCGGTCTTTACTGCGCACCCTGCAAGGATTTTCGCCAGACTCGTAAAATACTCCTTATATAGTTTAGAAATAAAAGTTATCGTTTGGAATCGCTTAAGAACACGCGGATATAGGAAAAAATCAGAATGAACAAAATTGAGTCTAGTGTATTCACGTCTAAGAAAAACAGTTATTTGTAAGTGGCAGAGTATACATGTATATTAGATCGAGGTACAGATCTGACAGACTCGAGTCAATTAGAAGTGATGCAGTCTATTGCTTTTGTAATTTCCCAAAAATTTGCGGTGAATGCTTCCTAGTGACATAGAAAAGCGACTAGGACTGGTACTATGGACATTTAACGGCCAACGAAAGCGATGTCTTAGCCAAAACACGTTGTCGCTTAGGCATTGTAGAAAAAGTAAAAAACAAATTCTTCATAATCCGTGTTAATGTTTCCACTACTAAGCATCGGAAAGGCTTTTAATCTCATCTCGAAGAAATGGTGGCGAAAATGAAGAAAATACCTTAGCTACCTTGGTTTTTATGGGGCTTTTATCAAAATATTCGAAATATATGAACATTTTTTTAGGTAACTTAAATAGGTGCAGTGGCTTTAAAATAAAGAAAGGATTGTATAGGACCAACAAAGGCATGTTATTCGCTGTAATTTCAGTTTTTAATACTAATAGGATTTATGTATTACCTCCTTAATGTCAAAATAGTTGGCTAGAATACTTAAATATCTAATTCTAGGGCTCTTTGCTCGTTGTCTTTAATATGAACTGAAGGAAATCTATTAATCATTAAATTGATTGAATCGTAGTTTCAAAACATCCCATTCCAAACATTTACAACTCAATGTAGGTCAGGTCAATGGGGAATTTTTTTTAGCTGCATCAATACGATTCGGTACGTTATTTTGTTGGAATTTTAAAAAATCCGAGTTCGCAATTTTTGAACCCCTCGAATCTGGGGGAGATCAGCATCTCCCATGATATGAATGCAAAAACGCAAATTTTTATTGCCGATTTCGGCAAAATATCCCTTCGTTAACAGCATATGTTGATATAACGATTTGAAGTCCTACATGATTAGTCAGAATCACGAAAAAATCGACTGATCATATCTCCGAAGAAAAATAGAAAAAAAAATCTCGAATGCGTGTTAGCTTATTTCGTGTAAAGAATCCATTTAAAACTTGAAGCGTATCGGAGACCTGACATCATTTTTTTACGAAATCCGTCCGACTTAAAAATCATATAGGAAGTGTATAAATTATAATATTATCAACTTTTGCTATATCCAGAAGGATTCTACCTTGCTGTGCCTATTCAACTGGCTAAATGTGGTTATTTAAGTGAACTGTGGTGTATATCGAATTGGAAAAGTACATAATTGTATGTTGATAAACAGACACCAAGTTAAATAATTTTCCTTCTTCTTTTTATTTCTATCCTCATCAGATGTTAATGGACTTAAGTAGTAAAGGGCTTTGTATAGATAGTCCACAAATACGTGGAAGAGAGCTTGA